CCAAGACCACATAATGCCAAGAAATCTAGTAGTTAAAATATATACCATTTTTCAATCATTATTGTGCTTCAGACAGCAGAAAACAATTTTTATATATCAGTCATTTCATGCTTCACCACTGCATTTACAGCTTTAAGAGCCAAGTCTAGAAGAAATGAAAAAATAATTTTTGTAGAGATGAGAACCTTTCAGATGAAAGAACTGGACTCAGAACTTTCCTGTTAAAAAGGACCTCATTTTTTGTTTGTTTTTTCTTTGAATGTGGTTTTGTTTGGTTTGGGGAGTAAGAAGAGTTTACTTATTGTCCTCAAAGTAATGTGGAACATTGCTGAATCTGACATAACTGACATTTCAAGTTTAGTTATTGTTTTCTGCCTACTTAAGAAACCACTCAAGTACTGTACTGTTCCTTAGAGCATGTCACCCCTCTGAGAAGCCGTTAGCCATCCAGCCCAGCCTGAATCTTGCTACTTTTGCTGGAGGTACCAGAGGGAAATACTTACTATACAGCCTAGAGTAAAGTGAAGTTACTTGCAGGAAACACTGATGATAAAAGGATATGAAATTGTGGACGTGATAATTAATGTCAGCTGGCACTACCCATCACACCCTGGATTTGTTTCAAAAAATCAAGTTGTTTGATCACTTGCTTTTGACTGAGAACTGTAAAAACCTCAGCCCTCTGATCAGAAATCCTTCCCCTAATCCTAGTGAGAGGGCCTATCACTAGCACATAATGCTAGAAATATAGTTCACGGATCTGCTTTTCAAATGAAAGTAACGGGAGGGTACTACTGTTGCTGGAAGGTAACAAATCCTAAACTTTTGGTGCTCTTATTTTGGGAACTTACTAAACCAATGGTTTTGCTTTTCTGAGTTTTAAAGTGAAATTCAATTAAATAAACCTTGGAGGAAAGAATGTGTAAAAATGTGATGGTGTCTACTATATGTACTATACTTTAAAAATACATCTCAGCAGATAGATGATGGACAGATAGGAAAAAAACAAGTATATTAAAATGTTAGTGGTAGAATCTAGGTAGTAAGTATATAGGTGCTCACCGTAAAATTCCTTTAACTTAGCTATATGTTTGATTTTTTATGATAAAATATTGGAAAAGATATATAAGAAGGTGCATACCTATTAGTGAATTTGTGTACTTGCGAAATAGTCATTGCACAATGATGTAAGATTGAGTAATCTTAATGGATATTTATATTGGAGAATTCTTATCTTTGGAAAATTTGGAAAATAGAAAATATTTTTAAGATGCTTGGGAACTCTTCAGGTTATTCTCTTACAGACCAAAAGCCACTCTAAAGATAGGAAAGGTAGCATTAAGGAAGAACTGCAAGGCTATATAGCAAAAATTATATTGTGTGTCACTGCCGTTTTATTATTTAACAAGTCACTGGATATCTATTTTCCCAATTAGATTTAGCCTAAAAATCAGAAAGTTACTAAATATCTGGGCACATGCATATGACTTAAATCATAGTTTAAAATGCATCAACATATTTGTTGTGCTTGCATTTCTTTTTTCAGCCAGCAGTAGACCTTTAGAACTGAGATTGATTACCCTAAGTTATGTGTGCCTGAGCCTGGCCCAAAACTAAAAAATTGCACCCTGTGGCTATTTTGTTTTGCCATATTTTCACAGTTGATGAGGAGAGAACACAACGGTGAATGTCTTTCAAGAACTATTTAAAGAAAAAAAATAATTCTTGAAAAATGCCAAACATAAGCCCCTCTGCAAATGATTCTCCATACGGATGACATTATCCCTTCAGAAAGTTGATTTCCTCCACATATAAGAAAAATAAGAGATCTCAAAATTGTCCTTTTACTTAGTAAGGTGATTACTTTCTGTTTAAAAGGTCTCTCCAGGCTTATGTCCTAAACAGGGAAACTCTCAAGCTCTTATTCCAAGTCTTTGGGGAGAAACCCCTTCTCCCTCATTTTCTGTTTTCTCTTTTCATTGTTTCTTTGGCTTCCACAGCAGTTGTGTTGGTAGATGTGTTGACACTGTGGATCTTAAAAAAAGAAAGGGGGGGGGGACATGGAGCCAAAATGATGTCAAAGAAGTGAAAGCGTAATATTATAAGGGAGAGTCAAGAGGAAATGGGCATATTAAATGCAATAAACAAAACGTCCACTTCACCATCTGACCACACTTGCCACAAGGGACAGAAGCAATAACTGTAGCATGAATGCCTAACATTTAAAAAAAAAACAAGCTTTCATTCCTCCGGAAATATAATAAAGGAAGAGTAAAGCCCTGACCAAGTCATTTTTCTGTGAAGTGGACTTTAAATGAGCCTTCTCGATGGCAACTTTATAGATCTCTCAAGCCATCACACTTTGTTTTCTTTTTTAAAAAATATAATTATAAAAGAAATTTATTCTTCTTTCAAGAAACTCCTAAGTCTAAAAAGAACACACAGATCATGCATAATTCCATCCCCTAGGAAAAGGGGTTTTAATATTTGGTGTCTGTCCTTCCAGATTTTTCTTCTAGAAATATGTATCACACAATTGTACATTTTAAAAGAGAACCATACAGTTTTTCTCCGAAAGCACTTTGCTCTTACTTTCTTGCTTTATGAATGATTCCCCGTCACCCTCTGGTGTCTACATTTTCACTTTCTTTATTGTTCCTTCTCGAACTGTAAATAAGGATACTCAATAACTTTACACAGGGGAAGAGGGGGAAGCTATAACTTTCCCAGTATTCTTGCCCTGTATTTTTTGTCATTTCACAAATACTTCTGCTCCCTTTTCCCCCTTCCCTTTTTCTTTGTAAGCTGTGGTAAGAACACTTAACATGAAATCTACCATCTTCACAGATTTTTCCCTCTGTCTTTTTCTTTCAGGCCTCTGTAAGGGAAAATAAGTCCTCTCTCACCTTTACTGCCATTTATCCATAATTTACCCTAATCTTGCTTCCATCTTCACTAGTTCTCTATTCCCAAAGTCCTTGGTGACTTCCAAAATGCCAAGTACAATGCAAGTGTGCAGTTCGCCTCCTTATTTAATTTTCCCGGCATCTGACCCTGTCTACAACATATTTTCCTTCGGCTGCATTCTGCCTCTCCTCCTACACCTATGACCATTCCTAGTCTGCCTCTTTCATGGGGTTCTTTTCTTTGGCCCACTCTTTACATGTAACAATTCTGCAGGACTCCAGCCTTAGTCCTCATCTCTTCTGTCTCTACATGTTCTTTAATGAGCTCTACTGCTCCTACAAGTTGAATTATCCCCATCAATCCACATTTCCTGCCCTTATCTCTCTTGTAAGATACAGACCCAAGTGGCCAGCTGGATCTTTCCACTGGGATGAACTTTCCACAGACACCACAAACTCAGCAAGTATCTTCTCAGCACAGCGTCTCCTTTCCCAGTCCTCCCCTCTTCTCATCGATACTCTGTTCAACTGATGGTAACACCATTAACAGTTATAACAGTGTAAATACCAGCAAAGACATTTCTGAAAATACTTGATACAGACTTGACCACCGAAAGAAGTAATATTTGCATTTATTTTGACATCTATAGTCAAGCATAAAGTGCACGTGGGACTAATTCATACAATTAGCTCTAAAGAAGGGCTACTAGAGAATTTGATCATTAGGAGTCCATTGGTGACTCTCGGGAATGCAGTTACAGTGAATTGCAAACTGATTGTGATTGGTTTAGAAGTGGCGAGAAAGGAAAGGACTGTGACTAGTGGGCATGGACCACACTCTCGATGGTAAAGAGGTAAGAGAGACTGAATGAATATCTTTAGGGGAAGGCAGAGTGAGAAAGGCACCTTTTAGGACAGGGAAAACAGCACTTTGCAGGCTGTGGGGAAGGAAGGTGGTGGAGAATGGATTGAAGATAGGAGAGACAAGAAGATAGGAAGTGAGTTCTGACAACCACAAAGAAGAGACTGGGAAGATCTTTGTTTCTTCTATCTATATTATACGGTCTTCATTAACATTTACTTTAATAAATTCAAGTCTACTATTTAATTCTTCTTGCAGTATTGAATAAATAATAGCAAAACAAATTTTGAAAATATTTCTATTTCTATTTCTTTAACCTTTACATTTATTTTGACATCTGTAGTTAGGCAAAAAATGTAATTGAGGCTAATTTGTACAATTAACTATATCACATATTCTTTTCCCTTTCGAAACTTCCTTTGTATATGCCATTCCTAATGAGAATGAAGAATCCTTTTAATTCAGTCCATACACAACTTATCTTTCAACTAAACTCTTACTTTTTAATAAACTCTTATTCCAAAATGGACATTGGGTGCTTCATTTTTCAGGTATCTATCCCGTCAGATTTTGTTGATGTTTTGTTGTTACTTACTTGCAAGATTTTCTTATAGAATACGTCCAATATCTGCGGCCATGTATTATATTCCTGTACAGTTTCCAACTTTTATGATTCATTTAATTCAAGTGAATAAACCTACCTTTCTGTTCTACTTTTGTGGAGGTAGACAAGGTTGAGGAGAGATGATGGACCATCTATAGAGAGGGAGGGTTACCAGTTAGGCTAAATGTTTCTAAGAACACAACAGATTTGATTCCATGGTGTTTAAAAAGTTGTCAACACTAACCAAAAACCAGATAGTTCTCATTCCAGTTATTCAGAAAGGATTCATAATGGCATGGGGAAGATGGGAGACACTGTGTTTGGACTTTAAGAGATGGGACACTTATACTGAGCTGAAAGCTTCTTCCAGGGAGGGAGGCATTCTCAGCAAATGATGACTATTTCCTTTCTCTCTGTACCCACTTCTCCCGCCCCGCAGTCCTCACCGTTTTATTTCCTCTGCACTGATGCTCCCTCCTCAGCTGCATGTAGGAGCAGTGCCCAGCAGGCAGCATGCCCAGGCTCAGGTCGACTGGGGCCTAACCTTACTGCCTCAGTTGAGGTCCTCAGCTCCAGTGTTAGCCAGCGGGGTGGGAGGAGCACAGGAAGTGAATAGCATCTGGCTTCTCCTCCCACAGAAGCCCTGCCTCCTCACGCTGGGACAGTGGAGAGGTTGGCTTTCTTTCTCCTTCTAGTTCTGTCCTTTGACTAATGGGAAAGACCACGCAGACGCTATGGAGTTGCTTTTTGTGCCTGACAAAAGTGCATAGATAGAAGACAGGGATTCCCGGCTGGGAGGAGGGAGGAGAGCTGAAGATCCCTGCCCAGGCTGGCCGGTCCAAGCAGTCAAAGTGGGAAGCTGAGTGCTTGAAAGAGGATTATGCTCGCAGTAGAAATAAGCAGTAAGTGAGCGAATAACCATTATGGCTTAGAAAAGGTTTAATCCTCCTGGGGTTATGGGGTGAACTAGAAAATATTGCTTAACTCAAGAGGAAAACTGCTTCTGACTCTGTGTACAATTGTCTGCTGTTTGGAGACTAAGGGCTTAAGTACAAACCCAGAGCTCTAAATGCCTCCTCCCACTCTTGGAAAATGCCAACTTCTCCTTACAGTAGTTGGGGATATAATCTCCTTCCCTGACCTAGCCTCTTCCTGGGAAGATTTACTACTAAACCAGATAAGGAATTGAGATTAAATTGGAAAGGTGGAATCTGGTACTGGCAGAAATGGCAATTTTGAATTATGTTCTGTGAATGCTAACATTCTTATATCTATTAGTGGTGATTTGCTAATCACAAGAAAGTCTGGGGTGGGTCCTTAAAAAGAAAAACTGAAAGCCCTTATGACAGAGAAGCTGAGTAGTCCATATGTGTGAGATGAAATATAAAAATGTATATAATTAATAATGGGGGGGGTTGAGCATTAAACTAGGACCGCCATCAGGGAACATAGAAATGCTTGGATAAAAATTAGTTAGAAAAAGAGAAATTTTAGTTTCAATGACTTTTTGTGCTAGCCAAAAATTTCCTAATGATTACGAAGTCAAGACAGTGATTCAGGGATGCTTTGATTATTTTGGTACATTATATATATGGTTGCTGGGCAAGATCTGTGGTTCTCTAGTCACTGAGTTCTGGCAATGTAGCCACTGCTGCTGGTACAAAGAATTCTGGGATGTCTGACAGTGAAATGGATGGAAGGACCCACATTCCATCTCTACTTAATGTCCTTTTGTCCAGAAATCGGGTCATGCAAATGAGCTACTTGGTACGTATACAGATCAATATTCGGAAAGGCATGTCTAAATGTTTTGCATTAGAGGGTCTCTGGACAATATTTTATGGCAACCAGTGGACTAAAAGGATACAAAAGCAAAATGATAGGAAGGAAGTCAGCTTGATTAAAACCAACCTTGTACTTTTTGTTTTCCATCAGTCCTGAAATGGAACCTCAAATGAGGACGAGAATAATAATAGAGAGAAGTACTGTGGCCATCTGTTCTGTTCTAAGTGGCTAAACTCATTAATATATGAATGAGAATTCAGATTTTATTTATGAATCCTAATACTTGAAGATTCAGAAAATCTCTTTATTACAGAAAAAAAACCCCACAAAAATAAGAAGTGTGTTTATTGGGGAGGAAATGTGGAAATCTGGTTTTGAAATGTTATAGGGGAAAAAACAGACAAGAATTGTGTCCCACAGTGTAAAGAAGATTTATGTCTTATTTGTTAAAGGATGTAATTCTTCTCCCGATGAGATGAGGACCCTAGTATGGCACAGTAGATGCAAACTTAAGAAGTATTTTTAAGTCCTTTAATTCTAGTTGATGTAGTTAATACATAAAGCAAGGAATGTTTTTTAAAAAATAATAACCTTGGACTACAGCTAACTACGTAGTGAATTTTCTTTTCTTTTTCTTACTGGTCCTCTACAGAGGTACTATGATTTCTGAAATTATGAAGAAGCAACTGTCGTTTCTGATATTTCCTTTAACCAGTGCACTGGGAAAAAGGAAAAAAAGGCTCAGACATACTATCTTTCTCCTGTAACACAACAGTAAAATGGTTGTCATGATCTGTGTCCTTTCCTAACTTTATAACTTTTCCTATGGGGAGGGTAGATGGGGAGAAAATGCCAATAAAGTGCATTTTTCAAAATGGTCTGTACTCTTCCAACTTTTCAAACTACCTAATTTTGAAAATTATTTATCTTTTTAAAATTATTTCTGGATTGTTTTTTCCAAAGTTAGTTTTCATTGGATTTATAAGCAAATGTAGAAAGTCTAAGGATTTATTATCTGAATTGTGTTATACTTGCTTATTCTTAAAAATATATAAAGGATTAAAATAAAACAATAGCTTAAGTCTTAAACATAGTATAATTACTAAATGTGGTTTCGATCTTTAAGAAAAATGTGCTGGGACTCTAAGAAATTGCTTATTTATCTCAAGTCATTAAAGAATCTTTTCTGAAAATATAGAATTGAAAAAAGAAGCATAACAAGATTCAGAAACGCATTAAAGGTATAATTTGGATGCAAAAGGCCAAGCAAAGGCCAGCAGTTTAATAAAGATATTTGATGTTGTCCGTGAGAGATTGACATAAAGCATGATGCATTATGCCCAGTGAACAAGGCTAAGTAAATACTTTTGTCTTTAAAAAGTGTTAAGTAGGAATTAATGTTATTAATGGAAAGAAACTAAATGATCATTTAAAATTATTCTTTCACAAGAAAAGTAAAGAAAAAGGATATGGAAAACTAAGCAGTGATGAAGACCTGGAAATAATTGTTGATCAGAAGCAGGTAAGTGAATGCTTCCGTATATTTTCTGCTGTTGCACTGTAGATTTTTGACAACCGAAGCACTTAAAGTGTTCAGCCCTGCCCTGGAGGCTGGGTTAGCCTGTCTGACAGAGGCCGGCATAACAAGGTAGATCTTGAGAGCCACTAAGGCTCCCCAGATGATGCCTCTGATCCACTGACTCCTGCATAATGTCACTATGTATGTTCTGTGTGTACGAATGATGAAAAATAAAGCAGAGCAAGATAAGAGAACTTTTGGAAATCTAAAGCCCCACTTGAAAAATGAATCAATATATCAGTAATAATTTGGCTGGAAAAAAAGATTTAAACAAGAACTAGAAAGTGTATTATTTTGAAAATGAGAAATGCTACCACCATTACTATAAAACAATGAATATAATTTAGGGGGTGGGGAACAAAAGACTTTTAAAAACTGAGAAGTTTAAAACATAGATGTTGCCTAATTTAATTTCTCAGATTGTCTGCAGTAAATTTAGAGATGATTCTTAAAAAATAAATAAATAAATAAATATTTACTATCCCTTAATATTGCCTGTCATTTGAGAAACATCTAGGTTGGATTTCATATGGGCCCATAAGGTGAAATGAAAACTGCTTAATAGACCATAAACAATGACATACCAGGTAATGGAAGGTATCCAGTTCATGCCACTGAATTGGCATTAGCCCTTAATGTCTTTGTTAATTATCAGGGGAGACAAGATAGCTGCACATCTATTTAATGTGTAAATGGCACTGATTCTCAGGGTGATGTAAGCTTCAGTAGAGATAGGGAAATAATTCGTAGGCATCTGAGCAGATGAAGAGGTTAGAAAGAAAGCAGTCAGCAAGTTACAGAAAGCCAAGTTGAATTTGGACAATTTCCTATTCAGGCAGTTTGTTTTGCATCATGGTGATTGCATTAAAGGAGCCATTGTGTCTATTTCTGAAAAAAAAAAAAAAAGAATGACCATCAGAAGATAGGAACCAGAAACAATTGACTTACAGACTTGTTTGTTAGGCCTGGAATAACTGAGGTAACTGAAGTGGTCTCCTGGGAAAAACCGACTGAATAAAGCATCTCCCCAAGAGGTGGCGAATACGTCCATTCTACAGTGTTCACTCAAAATACCTTCATGTTTCTCTTGCCTTGTCTTTACACTCCTGCTACTGAGTATATGAAGGGGTGTGAGGATTGGATTTGGCCCTATATCTCTACTTAGTGCCAAATTGTCAATTCAGTTAATAAGATAAGTGGGACTGGAGCCTGAGTGCTCTGCTGGGCTATTAGCTATCATTTTAACTGTGCCAGAATAATTACTTGGGGTGTGTGCTCTTCATCTCCTATAGATCCTGCCCTGTAGACTGGCATTCTGATTAAAGGACTGGACGTCCCTGGCAAACGAACTAGTAAAATACAATTGAATATATTATGAGAACACACAGACCTCTACATTTCTCTATTAAAATGAAGTTTTTTTTTATTTCTTCCTTATTCATGTAGCAGTTACATTCTTACTCTTTTTTGTGCTTCTTTAGTTATCATTCTACCCTGAAAGCTGCTTTGCTTTGCTTTGCTTTGCTTTGCTTTGCTTGTTTGCTTGCTTTTTTGCTTACTTGCTTGCTTGGTTGCTTTTTCTTTTTTTCCCTAAAGCTTCTTTTTGTTTCAAGTAAATTTGGGGAGTCAGAAAAGGAAGTCAGAAAAGGGAGTCATTGTTCTTTTTTTAATGTGGCACTTTACACAAAATTTATGTTGTTGTGCCTGAACATATTTTATTAACTAAGTTTAATAAGGACTCTTTTTAAAGAGAGAACCCACTTTCCTGCCTCTTCAGAAAATAAGGCTTTTCTTACTATAGTTATCATGTTTCCTCCAGTGCCATTGGACCAGTTGGCACCAGCTGGCATTGACCCAGCTTTGCTGAGTCATTCATGTCAAAACATGTTTCAAAAGATGAGTAATTATGAATATGAGCTGGCTTTGGTGTTTGCTGTTGGCAGTAAGAATAGTCCTTCTTTTGGGGGAAGGTTTATTTGGTGTTGATGTAATGAGCAAATCCTAGGTTGAAACAATGACAGTGTTGACACCTCAAAGTAAAATATTTGGGAAAACATTCTAATTAGCCTTTATAATACTACAACAAATTCTTCCTAAGTTTACGAGATCAACATTAAAAGTGTGTCTGTCTGTGTGTAGATGTGTGTAAAATATATTTGTCTGATATTGCTTCATCTCATAGATGTTATATATATGTATTTTGGGAGGAATCTTTATGTTCAGTTTAGTCTTCCTGTGTCTTTTCAGAAACATGGTAGAAGTCTGTTAGCAATCTTCATATAATTGCAAAAAGCTTTTTCAGTAAATGGTGCCAAAAGAAAATCTAAAGAAGGTAAATAAGATAGTTGGGGTGCTGTAATGGGCAGAAGTCTACTAATCTCGTTAAACTTGCCATTCAGAAGTTGTGGCTCTACACATGCTGTGCAAGCTATATGCCATTTTATCGGTCATGTGATTTGCAAGTCTTGTACTTCCACAGAAAACCCACAATTTTGCCTGTGTAAGCAAATTAATAACAGAAGCAGCACAGAGTACGAGGATTTTGTTCACTCTGGCTGCCCACATTCAAGGGAATAAAAGGTGATTTCTGTGTTATTTCTACATGAGGAAAAGTAATTTTGGAAATGTGTCAGGTTTTATTCTTAGGAGGCAATGTTGTGTTTCTCTTTTTGTGAAATGTTATTGACAAGATTTCTTTGAGATACACACAAAAACATTCTAGAGAATTCTTAGATCAGTGTTGATGTCCTAAAGTAATAGGAGATGCCATTTAATATGTAATCACACTCATCCACACACTTCTGTAGTCATTTAAATATAAACGTGTCACATTGACATTTAGGTCCATATTTTCCTCCAGAAACCCCTAGAGCTTTTAAACTTCAAGCATGGGAAAACAATCAAAGGAAACAATGAATAAAAATCTTTGTGCCTCTAAAACCCATTTGATATAAGTATATACATATATTTCATTATATGTATATTATATAACATATACAATATACACATATACAATTATTTTATATATAATTATAATAAAATATATAGAATTAGTTCTATATTTGACTTTCTAGAGTAGATATGAAAAGAAATTTTAAGTATATTCTTTGGATTATTTTTATTACTTATTAAAACTTTCTTTCTTGATTGGAAGGGGATGCATCTTGTTTAGGAATAGATTTCATTTACAAATGAATTTCCTCTCTAGTTACTGAGATATCGGGAATGGGAGTCAGGGAGTAGATGGTCAAGAACCTTGAGTAAGTGACTGAAAACATTAGCCACTTTGAATAAATAATGAATTCATTCTACTTTAAATTACTGTTTTTAGTTAGAATAGAGTCAGCCTAATTCAAAGTTTATGATATGCTGGACCAAAATAACTTTGTTTCTAAAATATTTTCAAATTCCAAGCAGATTTAAAGAAGGTAACCAAGGCTGACACAAAATTATAGCGTATTATCATTGTAAAGAGGACACGCTTGTAGATTCCAGCATTTCAAAACGATTTTAACAGTATGTCGTGGATTGAGTTGGTTGTAGGACTCAGAGTTGCAGCTGCATATTCTTCAGTGCACTAAGGTGGGGAAATGTCAAATGTCAGCCCATTACAACGGGAACAAGTGTAGAGAGACCAGAATCTCGGTTCTCAAATTTTAGCAGCTGCAGAATCCCCTAGAGGGCTTTTCAGAACACAGATTGCAGGGCTTCACCCCCAGAGTTTCGGATTCTGCAGGTTGAGGTGGGGCCCAGGAATTTGCATTTCTGAGTCCTCAGCTCCCACTGCTGGTCCCAGACCATACTTTGTGAGAACAGCTGGGTCAGAGGAAATAGCTATTGCAGTTCTAAAGAGAAAAAATACATGTATGCCTTGTAATAAATCTACCATTCTTCTCCTGGGCATTACCTGAAATCTGAAAACTGAAATTCATAGACATCCACAGTAATGATGCTGAAAACAAAAGACCACAGCCATTTACAACAAAAGGTGCCTGAAAGACCTTTGCAGTCTGACTGAATTCCATTTAGTAGCCTGTGATCCTGTGGTAGCCTTTGATGTGAAGTATTTCCTTATTTCCTTATTTGTCAAATAATACTCTGCTTCCTTGTTTGTAAAATAATACGCTACTTTTCCCACCTCTTAGAGTTTCTCTAAGAAGATAAAATTTGTTAAAGTGCTTTATAAACTGTAAACCATTGTCTTTTCAATTAGCTAGTCATCACCGCTTGTTAGTCAGCTTGGCCTCCCATATAAAATATCATAAACTGGGTGGCTTAAACAACACATATGTATTTCTCACAGCTCTGGAGGCTAGAAAGTCTAAGATCAGCACACTGACATGGTTGGTTTCTGGTGAAGGCTCTCTTCTTGGCTTGTAGATGACCACCTTCTCACTGTATCCTCACATCCTCATATGGCAGAGAGAGAGAGAGAGCTCTGGTGTCTCTTTCTCTTCTGCTTAGGGCCCCTTCCTTATGGCATCATTCAACCATTATCACCTCCTCACAGGCCCTATCTCTTACAACAGTCACATTGGGGGGTAGGTCTACAACAACATACGAATTTGGAGGAGACAGACATTCAGTCTGTAACCCCACCCCACACCCCCAATTTAGCAGACAAGAATGTTGAGACCTAGAAAGGTGAATTGGGTTGCCCCAAGTCCCTGGTTAGGTACAAAGAGAGCTCTGGAAGCCAGCCTTCCCTCCTGACGTCTAGTCCAATACACTGTCCGTCATCCTACATAGCTCTCTAATGTCACCCATTACCTGTCAACTGATAGATGGAAATTAAGAGGCTGTTTTGCTTCGATGCTCTAGTTATATAAAATAACCGTCTACTAGGGAAGTACTATAATTGACCAGTATTTATTTATCGAACGCCACAGGGATAACCTTTTCCACAAACACGCCTTAACTGTTTATTTCCCTCTTTGGCTCAT